CTCCTCTATCAGGAAATAAACTGTGATCCAACAAAAATCATTTCTCCGTCACAGTTTCCACTCGAAACATCAGTCATGCTACCTATTCTATAGATACACTTCTACATTCTATGTAACTAGTTGCCACAATAGCAGCATTTGAAGAAGTTCTGCTTATCTCTTTTAAGTGATATTTCCATTAAAACACCACTTGCTTTCAAAAACACTGATGGGAAATACACTCTTAAACATTAGGTATGGAAAAAAAGACTTTCACCTTTAAAGTCCATTATTTGTCCCATATTTAGTTTAAACTTTATTACAGCAGCACAAAAAGATTTTACTCCATATTTAGCACTTTTTTTTTTTTTGCACTTTATGCCCAGCAATACATGCTGAGCTGTACAACTAAATTCATGAGGACGTTTAACTGAGATAGGAAGGAAGGAATGTGCTACAACTCACATGAGACTTCTGTATCAATTCCTCCTTTGTTATCTCGCCAACTGATTCCAGGTGTGGGCAATTGCTGCTGAGTGATGCCATCTTCAGACGCTTTATTTTCCTAGATCCAGAAGCTGGGATTCCCAAGACCAAGAAGACATTTCAACAGGAGTGAGGATGAGTAAAACCCAATTCCTTACAGTATACAGTAATAGTAGAAATCTAATATACAATCTTTACAAGAATGTGCCTTTTTAAAATGTTAAAATAAATAACTTATTAAAAGTAAGGGAACCAAGAGTCCAAATTAAATACAGCTGAGTTCTAAAAAAAAATTGCAATCCTCTATTTTTCTGAGTTTTAGGGCATAAACCTAAATGAATGGAGCAAAGCCACGTGACTGAACTACTCATCTTCCTGGCTTCTACCATGGCACTCAAAAGGCCAAAAAAAAAAAAAAAAAGTGACAGCTTTCAAGCCTACTCAGGACTGTATGTTCTGCAAAGTGTTATTAAACAATCCTGCTGAAGTGTGCTAAAGCCATAAGACCTGCTTTTCAAGGCAGAACGAAACTTGATCTTGCTTTTATTTATTTACAAAGAAACATACTAGATAGCAGGCACATGATATATCAAAAGCAAGCTGAAACTCGTAACTGATGTGTAGTACGAATGCCCAGCAAACCTCTCTTGCTTGAGTTCTTCCAACAACCCTGATGCAGACACAGAAGCATCAGAAATAAGAAATGCTAAATACATTCACTTTTGCATCATTATTTCAATTTTAAAAACCTGAACTTGGCTACATTATGTTCACATAAGTACTCACCTGACTTTCGCTCCAGTTTTGCCTCTTAAACAATTGCTGTTGATACCCTGATCTCTGAAGCCCAAGAAGCCTTAAATGTTCATTGCCCTATTATCCATCCAATCTCACTTTCCTTTACCAAGGCAGGCAAGCAAACTTCCAACCTAATTCAGCAGTGCACTTTCTTCTAACTGTCTGCAACCTCTGGCAGCGTCTTTCCACTTCTCCTGTTCGCTTTGGCAGCTCTAGACCTGTTTCTTCACCTGCATGACTGCTTTCAGTACTGGGTAATCCAAAGCTCTGGCAGTGGAGATTGGGAACAAAACTTTGGTAAGCATCTCAGACACACTTCCTAGTAAACTTCCAGCTTTTTAATCTTTGATTTGGTGTTCATTTCTACTGTCCTGTAATAAGACATTTTTCATTTCAGTTTTCTCCAATTACTGAACACATTTTTTTAATGTGTTCTTACCATACTATATAAATGCTTTATATATTGCAATTGTATATAATATACCTATAAAAATAACGTAAGGCATATGAAGATTCGTTTCATCTCTATATATATATATATGTATACACATCTACATATGAATGTATAAAATATTTTAATAGAAATACATATATATGACATGTTTATTATATTAATTATACATATAATTATATATATGACATGTACACACATATTGAAGCGTGCATGTGTATCTTTCAATCTTTGTGCATGTCAACAGCTTTACGATAAAAGACCTAAGACCACACGGCTAGAAACACAACAGTAAATAATATGGGATTTCTGACCAAGTTATGTCTAAATTCTCTTCCCTGATCAATGAAAGAACCTTTACAGAGCATTATTCTTGAATATAAGTTTCAGAGGGAAAAAATATTTTCTCAGCTTGTGTCTATTTGCAGTATTGCTGAAAGACTTCAAATACAAATACAACAGTTTTTCAGGCAAAAACTCATCAGCTTTGTCATACTGGAAATTCTGGTTTGAACCGTAAACTTCCTTTCCAGAAAGGAAACAGAAGGATTTATGCACGTTATGTCTTGCACAGTTTGCAATGTCTACACAAATGCTAAAAATGGATGAGTGAGTTTCAAATAAAACCTTAACTTAAAAGTTGTCAAGGTGAATTAAAGCTGATTCAAGGCTTAGTATAATGGCTTACTAAAACCTTAGGCTTACTTTACAAAAGTGCATTTCTGAATGAAATATTCCAAGCAATAAAAAGCAACGAATGAAGGATGAACTTCAACTCATTCTGCCAGATATCTATTTAATAGCTATTGCTCACCACTGGAATTGCAAAACCAACACTAAGAAACAAACAAACAAGACAACTAACTCATGTAAGCCATCACAAAAGCATGAACAATATTTTAAAGCATGATTACCAACAAGCCATTAATTATTCAGCAGAATTCCATGGCATTATAAGACTTTTGTGGTGCCTACCAGAGATGGCCTGTATATACACATAGAAAAAACAATAAACACTAAGGGTTCAAGTAACCTTGAAAACTTACTAAAGCCTTTCTTAAAAAACATAGTAGATTTTAAATAGTTGTTTCTGTTTGTTTTTAATTTTTTAATTAAAGCTAAAAATCCAAATTTCCATTCATCTAATCGTGGTAGTTAACACTTCAACAGACGTTGAAATACACAAATATTTTCATTCAGCTGATGTCCCCAGAGCCCTTTAATCAGATCGTTTTACAGGACTGCTCCCACACACCTGAATACTTGCCCTATGAACACGTATAAATGAAGTAATTTGAGAAATTGAAAGAGAATTATAAAAAGCTAATCTTACATAAATCCCAGTCAAATAAGTTTTAAGTTTAGTACACAAAACAAAAACAGAACTCGATTGTGCAATGCTGGCGGAAGACTAACAACAAAAGGATTATTCTGAAGACAACAGCTGCTTCAAGCAGTAACTGTATCTTCATTATAGGCTTTAATTACTTTGACCACACAGCTCTGAATAACAGTGTATTTAGCCAGTTAGCAGTAAGCTCAGGGTTCTCCATTTACACTTGAGGTTATTTCACTACTGACACACTGGAACAGTCGTGTTTATTTTCTCTTTCAAATATCAATAACCAAGATAGAGTGGCACAGGGATGTGATTCTGTATCTGGGTGTTTAAGTACTTAAAGAGTAAAGAGCTCTGTAGCTTTCAGTAATTAATTACTGCAGAAATATTCTTCACGCTCAGAAAAAAAAACACAACACCAGCATTCACTGCAAACTGCACATGCCCTATGCCTCAGATGTGCATATTCAGATGTTTAAGACATACATTTTTTAATCAACATTCTAAAGAACTCAGTGACAGCCTATGACTCCACAACAACAACGTATGCAAAACAACAAAAAAAATCTCATTTTTTATTAAACTTGAAAAAGTTTGGTAATAAAACAAATGTAATCAAAAGGACCAAAGGAAGACCACTCCTTAGTTTCACATCCTATTCCTTTCTACTCTGTTATCCAGTCCATATTTTTGATACCTGCTGCCTGGATCTAAGCAGCAAGAACTACTCACCGAGCAAGACACAACGTTACTGAGTCACTTTCATTAGATGCTTTCCCTTGTATCGTTTCATAAAATCATTAAGGTTGGAAAAGACCTCTAAGATCATTACGTCAGGCTGTAATCTACCACCAATACTGTCCATTAAACTGTGGCCCTCAGGGCCACATCCCCACAGATCTGGACCACCTCCAGGTTTGGTGACTCCATCACCTCCCTGGGCAGCTGTGCCAGTGCATCTCCGCTTTTACGGAGAAGAAATTTCTTGTAATGCACAACCAATACTACATCTGAAATGTAAGAAAGAAAAATGTGTGCCTACACTCACACACCTGCGCTATCTCACACATGGTTATGGCCTACGATTTAACCAAGGACCTGAATATATAGATAGATAAACATCATTCTCTTTTTTAACATGGTGCTTAGAACTCTGATTAACATGATTCTACAATTCCACCTACGACAGTTAAAAAAGTCAGTTTTTCTTTGGGAAGCGTATTTTAGATTTAAGCTTGAAAGCAGGCAGACAAATGACAGAGTGCAAGGGTTACACTGAAAATGATAAGTCATAACCGATGAACTGAATACTGAGTGCTAAATCGCCGAAAGGACATTAAAAAAAAAGCTCGAACCGAGAGCTGACACGCGTGTGAGGTTACACAATACTTACGTTACGCTGCCTTCTAAAGCCCTCAGCCTGCCCATTCCCTTCTAACCCACACCAGCCGGCACTCAGAGCACCGAGCCCGCCAGGAAGGCCCGGCCCGGCCTGCCGGGCACAGCGATGGCTGGAGCCGGGCCGCCTCGCACTCCGAGTCCGGACGTAGCCACCGCCCGCCCGCCCGCCTCCTATCCCCTCAGGGCGCCGAAACCATCCCCTTCCTTCTCTTACCGTGAGAGCGCACCGAGCCTACGGCCGAGCGGGACCGCGGCCACCCCGCCCCTGCTGAGGATGTGCCTCGGGGACGCGGCGCTCCGCCACCCCGCGGGCCGCGGCGAAGAGGTGACCGCGACGGCAGCCGGGCCGCGGGCACAGCGCCCCCTCCCGCAAGCGGACGGGCACACACCGGATGCAGCCGCTACGGGCGCGCCCCGCACAAAGATGGCGGCCGCAGGTTCTCGCTCCGCCCTGCCCGGCCGCTTGCAGGGGAAGGCTGCCCTGCGGAAAGATGGCCGCCGCGGGTCGTCCTCACGCGGTAGAAGCCACCTCCCTAACGACCTCGGCCGCTTCCGCGCCGGCCCGGAAGCGGATCCGCTCCGTCTCCTAGCAGCGGCGGGAGCGGGGAGGGAGCCGCCCGGGGCGGCTTGTGGCTGTGCTACAGGTAACCGAGAGCGGTACCCGCAGCGCCGCCGCACAGCGGGACTCTGCTGGTACCTGGGATTTGGGTGGGTGCCGAGGAGAGCGGGAGCCGGATGCCACCCGCCACCCGCTTGGGCCGGCGGAGCGCCGCGAGGCTCGGCGTCCCCGCCCGGAGCTCCCGGGGTGTCTGTCCGGGCAGAGAGCTGCCCTGTGGGGATGTCACCGTGCGCTGAGGTGCGGTTGGAGGTTTGCGCTGTGTTCAGCGTCGGGAGAGGGTGGTGTTCATCTCAGAGTGAGGTTACGTCAGGCTGTGGTATTTATTCCTTATCGCTGAATACGCTGATACGCTGAATCTCTCAGTGAGAATCTTCCTGTCTGCCCCTGGACTCTTTGAGCTGGTGCGTATGTTCTGCTGACAGCAGCCATCGTATAGCTGTCTTGTGTACATTTTGGAGTATACAGGCAGTGAGCTTTTGGATAATAAAGCAGACGGCTTTCTGTAGGTCCTTCCTTAGACACACAGCCCTTTGCAGAGGGCAGTTACAATGGGCTGGAGCCAGGCCAGCAACGCACTGCTTTTTCATTAAGCACAAATCCCTCTGCACGAGCATCGCTCAGATGAGTCGGGTACCTGTTACCTGAGGGTAGCGGGCCTGTAGAAGAAAGTTGTCCTGGGCTTATGTTGCATAATTCTTCATCCTTTGTTCGACAGCATTCAGAGGACATCTGTGACTGATGTTTTTGACGTAATTCCACTTAATGAGGTTATGGGAGAGAAGGAGCCATGTCAGAGGAGGCTGTTACCGAGGCACGCTTTTCTCTGAAGACAGTGGCTCTACGGGCATTTCACCTTCCCGTGTCTTGGTATCACTCTCTCACACAGGTAATACACACGTTATCTGAGTATTATAGTTTGTAATACATTTTTAAAGTTTAATTGTAATATTATACTCTTTCTTCTGATCTTAATATGAGCTAAATTTGTGAGGAGTGTCTTGGCCTTAGTATCTAGAGTAACTTTCTTTTATCTTTTCCTGCTGATGGTGTATCATCATATATCAGACTAAGCAGACAGCTTTTTCTGCAATGTTTGTGTGTCTTCATTTTGTATAATCAAAATACCTGAACTATCCTTTCTGTAGAATTTCTAGGTGGTTAAAAACTAAATGTAGCAGTTGGTAAAATTTTGGGAAACAGTATGGAGTGCAGTCTCAAAGACTGGCAGTACCACTCTCTAAGTTAATCAAAATGATTGCTCTTAATCAGAAATCAAAAAGTGTACTTCTCGCTCCTGAGTCACTTCTGCTTGATTAAATAAGTGACAAATTACTAAAATGAGGCGGTGAATCTTATAAAGAATAGAACCAGATTATTTTTTGTTATTTTTTTTGGTTGTTTGTGTTTGTTTTATGCATGGAAAGATTGTCCAATATAACATTTAAGGCTCTATTAATTGCAGAATTTTCTTTCATAAATGGACCTTGTGTGATTTCTTTCATTGACGTAGTGCTGTAAAAATAGCAACATGGTTAACAGTCCCTCACATTTTGGTAAAGAGTATGTTCATTCTGACCTTTATTTTCAGGTTGGTAGGCTGAGAGTGTTGTGAAGCTGATACTGCTTGTATGTAGGGAATATAAGATGTGTCCCTAGAGCTACCTCAGGACAAATGCAGGGAGGAGTTGCTGTCATTACATTGTAGAGATCCAGAGAAAAGAGATGCTAGTTGCCTGTAACCATGTTTGATAAGTGATAGAGTGAAAAACATCAGAATTACTTGAAAACACTGCAGTTATGTCCCTCGGAGAATAGGTACATTGAAGAGTGAGCCATGTTCTCTTGCTGTAATACACAGAAATGGAGTAAAGAAGGCTTCTATTTGGCTTTGCAAAATATGGCTCAGAAATGATTTTTTTCTATTATTCATGTGACGAATTACTGAAAAGAATTTGTAATATACCTTGCAGTGTGGCTCTCAGTGCAGCTGTAGATGTCCCACAAATCCCTTTGGCTCTCACCTGGCCATCACAAAATTTAAGAAGTAATTTGTCAATAATAATTATTATTTCTCAGAGTGAGAACAGAATCTCTTAGTTCCTCAGATGCCCAGGTTGAACACACCAAAAGGAGTCCAGAGTGAAGAAGCATGGATTTCCAATGAAGTCACATTCTTTAATTTTCAGATAAATCTTTCACCTGGTTTAAAGAAGCTGTTCACAGTCACAGCAGTGAGTGCAATATCTGTCATTTTTCTGGCCCATCATTTCAAAAGAAAACGTGGAAGGAAAAACAAGCAAGTGTCCCAATGGGAGCCAGGTCATCTACTACTAGAATGTACCAAAGCAGCTGCATCAGAAAAAGGTACACGAAGGAACCCCAAAGTCTTTGTTTGTCTTCGAGGGGAGGAAAGGGATGTGGAGGGGTCAGTGTATGTAATAGTATATGAAGTCATTTTCCTTTAATGTTGAGGAGATTTGAACTGTTGAAGTAGAAATTGTTAAAAACAGAGTTATGTTTTATAAGTTAACTAGTCATCTTCTTGATGTTAATGTTTTAACTTTAAATTTGAAACAAAGTATATTTCATCAGTAATATACTAACAGTTGGATTTGCAGTTCTTGGGGATCTACATCAAAATTAACAGAAGCAAATCTAAACTTTATGGAATGGGAAAAGCTATGCTTAAAATGCATGCTTATTGTCAGGGACACGGACTATTCTAATTTGTAATTTCTAACATAGAAATGTAAGTGAAAGAATAACTGTTTGCTTCTGAACTGGATTTTATTGAAATTACTGGAAACAGTTCTTGCTAGTTCTTGCTAACATAAGATCTGCTAGTTTTAAACCTTCTTCAAACTGAAAATGTTGTATCTAACAGGTTCAAGTTGTTCCAGTAGCCGACAAAACTTGACTCTTTCTCTGAGCTCTGCTAAGGAAAAAGGATCACAGTCATGTATCTATGCAAATGGAGGGCTTTTCAGTAAATACTCTGGTTCAGTTCAGAGTCTGGTCTCAGTAAGTAGAAGTGTTTTAAGGCATTTCAGTGTCAATGTGTATTGGGGTCACACCTAGTGGTTTCCCTGAGCTGAAACAACTTTTCTGAGTAAGCTGTATACGCTGCCTCTGAAGGATAGAGGGGCTGACTGAGCAGATCACCTCTTTGTGGAAGAAGCTGCTGTACTTTCTATATTGTGAAAATAGTTTTTGTCAGAGATTTTATGCAACTGTAAAGTAAATGGGACAGCCCATTCATTCTGTCCCTCTGACCTTTCCTGTCTTGTGTCTAACAACTTCGTAAGAATCCAGTTCATGAGATGGAATGAGCCAAAACTATGCTATTCAGTGCAGCTGAAAGCAGGATTCCCCTTGTATCTTGCACTCAGTTATACATTCCTGGGTATATGTATATATATGTAATGTAAATATACACACACAGCTTTGATGCATTTTAGACCTTTTAGTGAGTGAAGTGAGTTTACTGACTTGGCAGTAAAATCACTTGTAATAAATCAAGATTGAATGCTTTCTTGTTAGATTAGTGAGTTGGATTGAATCTCCAAACATTAGAATTTACACAAGAGTACCAGAAAAGCCTGAATGTAGAGAGATAGAGAGACCTTCTCAGCCACATCAGCTCCTCCTAAACTTGCAGTCTGGAACAACAAGTCCCAAAAACGCTCAAAAACTTCTAGAGTTATATAACTCACTAGCACAAATGCCATAGGAAGGAGAGCTTAGTGCAGTTCAAAGGTGATAGAAAGAGGAACAGAGGTGAGAACCACTGAACCCCTAGTCAGAATACTGAAATAAATGAATGTTCCTTGTGTGCCTCTGCTGCATTGTAGATGCTATGGTGTGTGTTCTACATGGTGCAGATGATCTTTGTTTCAGTGATCAGCATCTCTAATTAGAAACTTTATACAGAGCAAGAAGCTTAATACAGCGTAGTTTCTTTAATGTTGCACTGGGAAGTGGGTTTACAACACTCTAGACACTTATTTTTGAGACATTTTCTGATTTTTTTTAATAATCTACAGTCAGATTTACTTGGACAATATTGTAAATCAATGATTACTTTCATATTTTAGAAGAGCAGTGCAGACTTCCAGAACATTGCTGTTAATTCTAGGGTGTGTTTTTCCAAAGAAACAGTTATACGTGGCCTGATAATAACTGTGCTTTCCTAAAATCTTTTAAAAGGTAATCTGTAGATAAGACTTGGACTATAATGTACTCTAGTAGGAACATAATCTTAAGGATACTCTATATAACAACAGAGTTGTTATAAATGCTTCTAAATCTTGGTGTTTTTAAAATGTATTTATTTTCAGGTTCAGAGTGCCACCTCTTGTCACAGCTGTGCTTGTGCCAATTCTAATTCCTGGGATAAAGCAGATGAAGAGGATATTAAGCTTGTTAATATTCCAGTCACTACACCTGAAAACTTATATTTGATGGGTAGGTTATCATCAGAATATTCGGCATCTACCAGTAATGAAAGTAAATAATTGTTTTCATGACAAAATGGCACCTGCATAATATTACTGTATTTTTTTTTTTCAGTGTCCTGTGGGCACCTAAGAGCATTTCCATAAATTAATGAAAATCTACTTAATCTAGTGTTGGGAAAATCAAAATTCTGTATTTTCAAAACGTATATTTGCAGTAGTAAGCTATAGGTTTGTTCTTACATGTAAATAGGAAAAAATACTACAGCCCTCATTGATTTAACCATATTGTGAGTTTCTTCATCTTAAAAAATCAGATGGCTGTTTTAAAAGCTTGCATTTCTGCTGTGATCGTGCATGTTATCTATATAGTTTCCTATGACTCTGAAGTATGAATACATACCAGAGCTGTGTGCCTGATGGAATGGAGGCATTCCTGATGTTCCTATAGGTATGGAGCTCTTTGAAGAAGCACTGCGTCGATGGGAGCAGGCATTAACTTTCCGTAACAGGCAAGTGGAAGATGAAGCAAGCTGTAGTTCCATCAAGCTGGGAGCAGGAGATGCAATTGCAGAAGAAAGTGTAGAAGTGAGTATATTTAATCTACTTTTGCTGTCCAAACAATTCATTGCCTTTTGCTACCTGGATCTTATAAACTTCTAATGCATACGCCAAAACTAAGAGCAATTTTAAAGAACGTTCATTTGAAGGATATCCAACTTTTTTTCCCCCCTTTCTTTTATTAGTGTTGGGGAAAAAAAAGTAGCTTTATGTATTTCTTGTCATTTGCTGCTGCATCAATGTTTACTTCTGGACAGTAATTCTGTTATCAGGTTACCAAGCATTTCTTTAACTAGCTCTCTCTCTTGGATCATCTTTCTTGTCCAGGTGTGAGAGAAAATCTGCTTAGCAAAAATGATAGTCTTGGTAAAGATTATTTGTGAATGTTAACAAATAGTATGTTTGAACTTTATCTGTAACTCTTTGTTCTCGTGGACTAAATGATTAAATATTTTAAATAAACATACACCCATACAGCTTTCACTCTGCTGCAGTAAGCATAAAAATATTTAAAGATTTAGGTTTTATTTTTATTACTGAATCAAGTATGTGTATCTTTAGAAATGTGTGTGTATTCTGCATATTGAAGTGTTCATCTGACAGAGTCCTTGTGCTGCTCATAGGAAACTAGTGTGGCTCTTTAAACAGTGACACTAGAAACACAGTGAGCTCTTTAAAGACTGAGAAAGATTTCTTTGTTAAATCCAAGAATATAGACTGTAAATAAATGGAAAATCTAATGTCTTCTTGCAGGATATTATTAGTGCTGAATTCATCCATAAACTTGAATCCCTGCTTCAAAGAGCTTATCGTCTCCAGGAGGAGTTTGAGGCCACCCTTGGGACCTCTGATCCTGCTTCTCTGACTAATGATATTGGTGAGTACTACTGTTTTGTTTTTATTGCTTGTATTAATGCCTCTTGTGAAGGGAACTCATGGAAATATCCACTGAGTAGAGCTAATAAACAGAATAAATTCCAGATCTTTCACATCATTATTTAAAGCTTAAAGCAGTATTTGTATTTTAAATAAGAATGAACTGCTGAGAGGATTTTTCCCGCTCATAAATTGTAAGTATATGCAAGTATTCTCAGAATTCTTCTCAACTCTCTAAGGTTTATCTTGACTCAGGTATTTAAAAACTTATGTAGTAAAAATACACATCCCTCTTCTCACAGCATAATTGTATGAGAGCATTTCAAACAAAAGATTCATATGTTGTAATGCTATAATAGAATGAGAAGTACAATGATAATAGCAGCGATCTCCTACAAGAGAGCCTCACCTCCAGTGCCAACCCTTAAATGAGGTCTGGGAAGGAGCTGATCCTGGCTTCACCCCTTCTGGTTACTTAGGTGCATTGCTTACACCTTAGCTCCCCTGAGTTGGACCTGTGTTCCCACCAGGTACTCAATCACCATTTCAGGCCGTGGCTTAGCATTTCTGCTACATATGTCTTCTGAATATTTTAGTTGTGTAGCCTGGTGTAACTTTAAAAGAAAGGAAAAAAAACCAACAACAACAAAAAAAATTACCTGGCCCATAATAAAATGAAACCAGAAGGTCAGAAGAAGATACCTATTTTCAAAGCTTTCGTCCTTAGAGATTGAAATTTGAGGTATGAGTTACTAAACTTGGGATATTGTAACGGCAAGTCTAATAAGAGTAATTGCTGCCAGACATGCTGATTTTATTTAAAGAATTGGTTGAAGGTGTTCCTAAAGCTTGATATCACTGCACCCATTCATAATTCAGTATCAAGCATCTGATTTCAAATAACTGCCAGACTTCAAAGGCGGAACATGTTCTGGGATTAGTTTTAGTTTGTAGTCTTGTTTGTTAGGCTTGAGCTTTGGTTTGGCTGGCACAAGGTGGCAGTGCTCTCATCTCTTTGCCTTCACATCATTCTGCACTTCTAAATACAGATCTGAGTAAGGTGAGAATTAGATCAAAGCTGGCTTTCTGCTCTGACTGCGTACACTTGTAAACATACATAAGCAGAAAAGTGTTTGGATGTTTTATTTTGATGTCTGAAGCCATAAGCCATAAATAAAGTTGCAGCATGTGTACTTTTTAAAATAGAAACTTATTTGTAGCTTTTGTCCTCAGGCAAGATTAATAAAATAGAATTCAAGGGGCTCAGTATATTTAGTTGTTGATTTGTTGTGTTTCCCTGGAAGTATTTTAAATTGTGATGTGATTTTTTTAAGATATGATAATTTTATTCTTACCATGAATACTCAGACCATTCAGTTATTTTCAAATGTTCTTAGTAGAAATCATTTGTGATCTCCTGAGTACATGTCATCAGTATTTTCATTGTGAAGAAATGAAGAATTGTGCTGGGCTGGACGTGTAAGGGCAAAAAAGTAAAGAATTAATTTAGTGAGCAGTGCTTCAGTGTTCTGGATTTGGGTTTTTCATCATTACTGTATATTCATGACTTGAACAGCAAGTATAATAGCAGAAAATGGATCACTTCTGCAGAAAGTTATTTAAACTTAGTGGCGCTTAAAAGATTTAATACAGAGGATGGTTTTGTCCCCTGTTTGTTAGATATAGAAACATTTATTCACTCACAATTTGACAGATAATTTACTTTCCTGTAAAATATGATTACTAGATATGAATGTGTGAATGTTTGAAGAAGGGTATTTCTAAGATGAGTGTTTTTTGATAACTTTTCTGGGAAAAGTTAGAAAACTGTGCTTGGGAGAATTGACAAAGCTTTCTTACATTTTTATTTTTCCTTTAATTTTTACTTGGTAACCGAGTGAAAGGAAATGAGCTCTCAACAGATCTGCCCTTACACCCTCTAAAATGTGTATGTTAACATATAATACTCATTTTATTTCACTTCTCTTCAAAGCTTTGTATAACTCTCTTATGAAATGGTAGTCCTGGATAATTCACATCTAAAACTTATGAAAGAAGCTGGATAAAGAAAGCACCCTAATCCATCACTTACTGATCATCTGTCTTGGAAAGAGGAAGATGTTGCAAATGATGGGGAAATTGCCAATAGGGTTACGAATGAGGAAGAAAAAAAGGGGGAGGGGGCTGGTGAAAGAAAAGGCACAACCCAAAATGTCATGCCGATGAAAGAATGGAGTTAATAATTCACTGTTCAGTTACCTCAGATGATAAAAGCTGTAATTAGTGCCAGTCGATATGATTTCTTGGGAATTAGCTTTTCTCAAACTGTGTGGGTTGTTTTGTTTTTTTTGAGAGATGTGCAATTTTGAGAAGCGATATCGCATGCAGTAGATGATAAGAATTAGCTTGTTGACTTGAACGTTTGTTGATGATCTGCCCCACTATGAAGGAGAAGATTTGTAGAAAAATTTGTATTTTTGTGGTCAAACACTGTAATTTTATCAACTATAGTTGATGATAAAATTGTTCACGTGACTTGGAGCTAATGAAAAGTAATCATTTAAGGGCATTAAAAGCATTGAGCAATGAAAAGGAAGGGTTAGTAATACTGATATGAATTATCTTTTTGTGTTTGAATACGGGCAAGTATGGATTGCACACAGACATGGGAGATATTAAAAAATAAATAGGAAAATTATGCTTCGCAATCCATGTAAGCTACCAGCACAGTGCTATAGGGGGAAAAAAACCTCAACAAACACTACTAATCTTTAACTATGTGACAAGGACAGTATCAGCGAATTTGCAGAGATACAGTCTTGTTTCTATGTGGCTTTAGGATACTGTGTACCAGTTCTGTTCTTCATACTTCAGAAGGTAAGGAAATACTAGACAGCTCCAAACAAGCCGTATAAATGATGCGTGTTTTGAAGAGACAAGCTCATAACAGGTTTAAGTCGTGTGTGTTTAGCTGTTCACTGAAGAATATACTGAGAGGAGACTTGCTTCTTCTGAATAGCTACTTACACATGGAAAAGTTATGTGATAGTGGGCAATATTTAGGCCTGGTTGTCAACACCATTACTATATCCAGTTTCTGCTTGTTCAAGTGAAACAAATTAAATTCTGAATTAAGCTTGCCTTAAAATGTGTTGAGGATATTCCAGAGTTTTAGATAAAGATGTTTTGCTCTTTTTTATTGTTATTATTTAATGGTGTTTTGAGGGAAGATTTGTGTCCTTTTGAGAGAAAGGGATGGGTGTGGGGCTTAGATGGTCATTGTAGTCTTTCTGGCATTTGACTGTCCAGCATTACGACTGCTACTTTTTTTTTTTTCTTTCATCAACCTCTGAGAAAAAAACTTTGTTCTCTTTAAAAGGTAACCAAAAAATGCTTTGCTGTATTGGTTTGCTTGGTTGTATTTTTCTTCCCTCTGGTTATATGTCATGATTTTTTTTTTTTCAGTTTTCTCCATTTTTAGCACTTGTGATTAACCACAGCTGGAGACAGGACTCTGGCAATGGGGCAGATGCTATCAAGTGTTATCAAAAGACTTGCTATGAAACATCTGACTTTCCTTATTACAAAAGCTTCAGTTACAGTGAGCTCCAAATCCGGCCCGGAGGGAAATTTTTGAAGTTAAAATCACCCATTGTTTTTTAATTTTTCAGTTTTCTCTGTACAATATTTGGCCAAACCTCTGGGGCTACTGAAACCACTCTCCCCCCCCTACTTGTTTACTCATGAGAGATGTTGCTCCTTTCAACATCCTTAAATGTTGTTCTTCCCAGGGTCTAATTTTCTCTAAGTAGTTAGTGCTGTTGTTGACTGATGTTCTTCTAAATTCTGGGCTCCTTACTTTCCAAGCCTAATAGTTTGACAGCTGTGTGAGCTGTACCAGTCCCCAAGGTCCCCATTGCTGTGTAGCTCCGTGTACCGTCAGCACATTCCACTGTGGAAGACTGAGGAACGAACGCTGCAAGCAGGGACACACTGCTGACATCTGTCTCAGACCACAAGCTTGCTTTTCTTTTTGTGATCCCATTTACTAGTTGAAGTTGTCTGATGTAATAAACAATTTGCCAGCATGCTTTGAGAGATAGACTTCTGGAGGAAGCTAGTGTTAATGTGCTACGTGGGAGAATCAGGAGCAAGTTACCTGGGATACTGTTAGAATACAATCACTTGTCACCGCAGCTAGTCTCTCTCATGATGTAGCTGAAGTACTTCTCTGCTGCTTGCTGTGACAGGTGAAAGATGGCTTGTCAGGGCAAGCAATCATCACTTGAAGTGGTTGCGTGCTCTAGTCGAATATTCAACTTTACACCTGCTAAATAAATGCCTCTTGTGGGTAGATTTCTGCCAGGTTGTTATTCTGTTATTAATTGCAAGTCATCTCTTTCAACTCAGTAACCTATTGTTGAGTTAGAAATAAATACAGCCCTGGATAAGATTTACATTTTAAAAAGATAAAATAATGGAATGTAATTGTGTTCACTGTGATCACACTCCCTACTGGACTTTTAGAATTATCATAGAAACCAGCAAGCTAAAAATGATTTCTAAAGCACAAGAATTTCTGGATGTGAAATTAAAAGAAATACGTAGTGTGAAGCTGCTGTTGGCTTTGTGCTGATTGATTCTCTTAGGAATGAAGCCTAGGACTAAGAAGCCCAGAAGCTGGCTTTCCTGGGGGAGGCATAAGCTACTCTGAATCAGAAAGAAGGCAATTCACAGAAAACTCACATCACCATAGTGCTCCTTGTCAGTACTTAATTCCTAATTCTTAAAACTGTTCTTTTGATTTTAACAGCAAAAAGAAATGCTAACACCGAAGCTAATGGTGACTTGTATGTATTCTGTCCCCTAAACTTTTTGGTAATATATATATTTTTATTAATTACATTTTAACTTAATATTTGCTCATTTAATTTTTTGTTCATCCCTTTTACAACTAATAAAAGATCTGTCGTGAAGGTCTGTGTTGTTGGATGATAGGTATGTCTGTTTCTTTTTTTAATTTTCTCCTCACACTCCAAGATATGCCTGGCATTTGGGAGAGAATGAGCACAGCCTTTAACCTAGTGACAAAACGCTTGGGAGAACCTGCGTGTTAGAACCCTTTTCTCTAGCTGCTCTTAAGCAGGAAAGCCTGTGCATAATCAACAAAGCTATTGAAGAATCATTTTTATATATTTAATCAGCACAGACATCTGTAATGCTTTGCTGTTAGTAATGCGTGAGGCCTGCTTTTTTCCTTCCTGCTTATAAAACATGAATGAAAATATTTACTTTGAGAGTACCATACTTGATTTGGTTGCACACAAGAAATATTTCTGTCTCTAATTCTCAAATAGGCACCAATTAGAAGGTCAGCAGTTTTTATCAGTTCACTTAGTTGTCCTGCCTAGTAGCACATACCATAAAATAATTTCCAAGGTTTCACTTTTTATCACCAGTTGAATATTTTGTTTGCTTCATGTTCCCTGAAGATAAATTTACATTACGTGATTTCTTAATTTCTTGGAGAAATACAAATATTTTTTTCTAGTGTATGGAGAAACATTCTTCCCAAGAAATCTTTTATAAATGAAAGTAATATCACTAAGTTTGAGCAAGCCCAGAAAAGCTACTTCAATCCTATTTTTTAAAAAATGCAGATTTTGAATTCAACTTAGCACTCATAGTTTGTGGAAGTTCAGTAACTGCTGAAGCTTGCTGCATTTTGCTGTGACCTCTCCTGTATTACAATTCAGTGCTGCAACCAAATTGTCATTTTGGATGCATGATATCACAGATATCTGAATTGTAGAGGATGTTCTTCAACTATCAGTAATATCTTAGACTTTGCTCTAAAGGCATCGTTGGCCAGTACTAGTAACACTTCCTCTCCAAATTGCATTTGGCAAAATTCTTCACCCAAAAGTCCCTAAAGGCTGAGATTGTGAAACTGGTAGTTAAAGGTTCAATTTAGAACTGTAAACAAAAGTATTTCGGCAAGCTTGAAATGTATCAAAGGATCATAATGCTTGGTTTTCTCAGCAATATTCTGTCAGTTTTAGCAGTATCATGCTTGAAAGCCAGAACAGTTTCGAATGGACCTGCACAGAAGTTATCAGTACTGAAAAGGTTAGTGTTTGATAATCTGTATTTCTGTGTTGATATTTGATAACCTGGAGTGCATGCTTGTGCTTCTGCTAAAAGCGGAAGCTCAGATGCCTTTTCACAACGCAGTAAATATATTAGTTGCAATCTTCTCAGCAGTGGCTCAGAATAATCTTTCTTACTGTACCAGAGCCAACATTGGAGATCACTTATTGTATGTTAGTTTGGGGTGATGTGGCTAGAAACTTCTGAAAATACTTCAAGTAAGATCAGAAAGTGTCTAAATACAAAGTCTGTCTACAATTTCTCCATTATTTCTCCTTCTTCCTGACAACATGAGAGCAGCTGCAATCATTTCTTCCCTAAAGTCTCCCCTTAACGCAAGCTTTCTGCCTCCTTCTGGTTATCCAGGCAGTGCTTCATCATTCATAACTTTTCATCTTCATTCAGAATGCATTAATGAAATAACAAATCATCTTGTAATTAATGAAGAGCATAACGTAATTAAAGTAAACCTCAAAAAAAGATTAGATTGGCTTTTTACAAATATCGGAATAAAATATTTTTAATATTTAGTTAGGTATTATTTGGTGTTTCCTTTCATTTTGCAAGAAGAGCAAACCATGAAAGTCAGTGATGACTGTCTGACCACAATTCATATTGTCAAGGATTAGACTATATATTGCTCTATAGACAGAAATGAGATGATGATATAAACAGAAGGTTATTGGAAATTAAAAGCTGGTTTGTGGCGGGTCAAAGTTCTTCATCCACCCAGCACTGAAGTTTGAATTAAAACCCACAACCTGCTGAAATGGTTAAATAAGTGTATAAACATTCCTTGATTGAAACACGTAATGTGGAACGTTGTGGCATTGCTTTTAAGGTAAATACTTACCGCTGAACAGTAAGGAGAGCATTACAATTCAAAGCAGAACATCAAAACAGCTGAACAGGTCAGATGATAGGTACGTGTAGTCCAATACTTTCCAATAGAGGTTGGCAGTAGATTTGAAAGGCGTTTAAGAATAGACTGCATATAAAAGAGCCTTCCTTTAGCAGAACTCTTGGCTTCCAGACTATGGCTAGAGGCTGCCACAGCCAAGTTTACCTCTGACCATCTGTTTTCAGATCGGACCTCTGAACATCCCTTTTAATCATTTTATGCTTTCAGCATTCACAATGTCTTATAGCTATGACTTACCACACCTTTATCATTTTAAAATAATGAGATGAAAAAAAATCCACCTGGTAAGAAGGGAGCAGTTGCTATGAAATATAATAAATCTTTCTCCCTGCTATTTATAATTAAATCTCTTGATATGTTCCTTTCTCTCTTCTCTTTTCAACCTTCTTGTGCATACACAAAATCTTTGTGACTGTTATTTATTGCTCCACATTTCAGTTAAACTCTAGTCCCTCGCATCTCCTTGTGTGAAAGCTGTTGCATACATGTGTTTATACTGGATAGCTTTCTGCATAGCTTTCTGCAAGCTTCAATATATACTCTTTCTGAATATTTTGGTCAAAATTTAGTGTATAAAGTTCATATGATGCAGACAAAATAAGGGCTTACAGTGACATAATTTCTGTCTCCTGATAACTTCTGTCCTTCTGGTTGTGTTTTCAATATTGTGTTTACAATATGACCAAAGAACAATCACTTCACTACACATCTATTTTTTGAGCTGTTCCTATTGTTGGGTTCTTGTAGCTCAGGTTGTTCCTGTGCATTCATTTGCTGTTACTAAATAGCTAATCAAGTGGTGAAACAAATTAGGCGCTTAATAAACTTCTTCTGTGACTCATTTTGTTCAAACTTAAAATCAGCTGGCTTAAGTGTCTTGCTTCTGTAGTGAACTTTGTTCCCTCGTTATCCCTTTGCTTTTTCCATTTTTTTTTTTAATCTGTGAATTTATTTTAATGAAAATGTGGCCCTATGTTTCAGCCCACATTTTTATGGAAATCTTTCCATCAATTCTTACTTTTCTTTTTTTATTATTATTAATAATAATTAAATTAATTAAATTATTATATTAATTAAATCACTTATCTACAAGCTGATTGATTATTTCAGGAAAACTGCACTTCGTTTTTAAAGGTGGAGTGGGGTTCTCGTGTTCTCTGGACTTACTGGCAATCCCCAATAGATCATAATTCTTTATCATACTCTTCATCAGTTGTTTGTTGCAGGATTCATTCCTGCTGCCTGTAGTTAGATAACAATGGAGCCCTTACTAATAGTTTACATTAAGCTGCCTTTAATTTGTGCCACCAGCTGTTGTGAAAAGCTGTGAACAACACTCAGTATTTTATCACTTTCATACTTCAGCTTTTTTGAAAACTCATTGTCTGCAATGCCTTCGTGTGTTATCTGTTCCTCTTACATTTTATCTGTTGCCTGTTCTCCTGCTTAATTCACATCTGTATCTTCTCTGTGTAACTTCTCTGGTTATTTTTTGTGTTTGTATTTGTTTTTTGCCTTTTCACACATATCTTCCTATTCTTTGCTTAAGGGAAGGTGATCATTTCCACCCCACATCAGGACTGGATTTCTTAAATCTTGCCTTCACTTTGAATACTTCTGAAGATTGGTAAATATGAAATAAGTGGAAACAGCCTTCCAAAAGCAGGAAGTCACACTGTTGGTTGTTTTTATTATTATTTTTATTCCTTTTTTTTTATACCACTTTTCTTCTGTGATATTCTTAACAAGTTAAGAATTTACAAATTCTTTTTCTTACTAAAGAGGATGTATATACACTTGAAGTCTCTGTGTTTATATACATTCTGAATACAAATGTTCCAGAGGCAGGAAAAATTATACCAGACAAATGGCAAGCTGTGGGGGAGGGAGAAGTGTTTATTTTTCTGGCTGGAGTATTGCAGTGTGAGGTTATATAAACTGATGATCAAGAACACGTTTTGGCCCACAGGCCTAATTCCTGCTTCAGAACTTCAACTAGAAGTAATTTATTGTTGCATTAAATTCTATTTTAAGGGAGGCTTGTCTGAAACATTCTTGGGGAAAATGAAAGGAGGGATGGGGCAAGAGAGATACAGACAGAATGACAGTTCAGTTTAAGAAGACTTCAGATCTGTTAGTTTGGTAGCTTAATCTTAAAAACGCGTAATATCAAGATCAGATATTGACTGAATCATACAAAATCAGCAAATCTAGTTCTCAGTGCTATAGCTCCTCTATCAATTCAGTAGGTAGTTGATGCTAAAATTTTACCTTCAATTTATGTTCAAGAGGTTGCAATGAAAACACTGCGTGCACACATGCAAGAGCGAACTATTTTTCTTACCCCACGTGCCTGCTCTGTTTGAGTCTCTCTACGCATTAAGTCAGAGACCATTTCTTTTCCTAAAGGCATTTTTAGAATTTTCTTTCAACTTTTGTCTTAACTTTCCTTCTTTTCAAACTTGAACCCATATGTGTGGGTATACCTACTTTTGTGGAAAGTTGTAGCAAAAGGTGCTGTGAACAACAAGGAGAGTAAAATTTGTGTTTTCTATCAGTTTTCAGTCACGCATCTGCTCATGTGCTCAGCTACAGAATCTTACAGAACTGTGGTTTTGAGATTGAACTATGAAAAGCCCGTCTTACTTGATGGTATGTCTGCTCTGTACACAATGTCCCATCTTACCTAATAATCCTGTTCGTAGCAAAGTGCTGTGGAGTATCTGATTCAGGAGTATCTGATTCAAGAGCACATGCTGATCACACGAGGCTTTGTTCTCTCTACTGCTATTTAAAGCTGTCCTTGTTCTACATGCTGAAATGCCTGCAAAAGTTTAAAGGCAAACATGTAAGTATTTCCAGATCGCAAAGAACAGATGCAATTCAGACTTTATTTTTAATTAATGATGAATAAATAATATATTGACTAGTTTGCAACTTGAACTACATATGCTGGAGTAGCTGATAAGCAGTGTTGAGTGCCACAGGTCGGGAGCACCGATTGTTAAATATAATTCAGGTGTTAATTCAGGTGTCGTTATTAATGCATTTAACAATCTCAGTAATTCAGAGGAAGAACTTTTTATTCAGTATTAATTTTTAAGGATACTTGTCTAATTCTTTCTTATTGTCCAGAGCAAGAGGAATATAAACAGGCCTTAGTCTGTGGGGTACTTCAGATATTATTTAAATCTTAGTGTTTGAAGTTACATGTGTACCTTGCTAATTTAGGTTCCTGAAGAGAATGCTGTGTGAAACTGGGTTGGCAGAAGTCAGTTGTGTTCCAGAACAGATTCACTGCAGTCTGCACAATACCATAACATTTTTCTGCCCTGAGGCAGTCTGCTTTTTAATACAGAACCTGTTAGTCCCAATAAAAAAATACGTATTTGAGTATTTTTATTGCCGCTTACTTGACTGAGTGCCAGCAGTAGTTGGTTCTGTCTTCCTAACTTAATGCCTATTACTGGGATAAAAACGTACCCACCTATCTTTCTTATCACTGCCTTCAGTCCTACAAGCTGATCACGTGCATCTTAACGTGATCACATTTCAGGAGCAAAGTGTTCTGTACTTTTAAAATACATTTTTATTACCAACTGCTAGACAGTACACTTTTCTTTCAACGTAAGAACAAATGAATATGTGGGCTCCTTTTGTCAGTCTCTCTCTCTTACTTTGAAATGCAAATATCCCTTAAGCATAATACTATGGCTAAAGAAAAACCTTTCCAACAATCGTGTGTTTAAAACATCACTTCAAAGAGAACATGGTGGATGATCCCATACCCTTAGACTGTCCAGCAAAATAGTCTGTATTCTAGTATACAAAATTTATATAAAGCTATTTAAAGAATGTCATAAGGCAGACCGTTTCAAAGTTTCAGCCAGGAAAAGGAGTGAGAGGTACCACTAGAAATGAACTTGTGCAGATATCTTGTTGTGGTTTTTCTCTTTTAGAATTTTGTTAGATTTACCCAGGTATGTTAAGACAGAGGCCAAAGGGACAAGTTCATTTACATTTGAGACTGCTTTCAAGTCTGGTGAGAAGGCTTTTCTACCTAAACTGCTTATGGATGCCTCTGATGTAGGAAACATATTAAATGAATTGATTCTATATATATAAACCTCAAAGTTAACATTGTATTTCCTTCTCCTTTAAACATGGTGCTACGTTTTGAATCTGCTCTGCATCACAGTGAGTTAATGTGGTATCACACTGTATGCGACTGAACAGACCATTCTATTGTCAGCAGAAAGTGCATGTGCAAAAATAGTGGCAGGTTGTGCTTGTTTTTAAGATGTGAAGAACTAAGAAAAGGCAGTGACGTTCAAATCTGATGACTAAGGCATCTGGCAATCTTCACAGTGCTGTGCTATAAATCTTCAGTGGACAGCCCACGTTTTAAAATAAGCATCATGTGAATTCAGACTAGACTTTGCTATGGCCAGAATAGATGGTATGCCTTCTGAACTACAGGAGAGCAGAGTGCTCCTATGAGGGGATGTGGTGACAACTTTGTTTTGTGTTTTCGAAGTCTACATTTTCAAAGAAATGAAAAATAAGTTTTATGGACAGAGACTTAACAGTGAGACATAGTTTATACAGAATATAAATCTCAATTTTTTTTCAGACACTTAGATTCACATTAGGCAGAGAATTAGATTTAGGCATAGAAAGCATTTGTTTTATATTTACTAAACTGATTTCTGAGCTGTCAGCATGTACGATGCATTAGTTCAGGTTATCAAGTACATATTAGGTGATTCTGTATTTTCTTAAAGTTCAAATTTGAACAATTTAGCACCATGTGTGTTTATCTTGCCTCTTCTTTGAGACATGGAGAGTTTGTAACGCTGTGAAGTCTTTCAAGTTTGAGATTTTGATTTTAAAATAAAGCATGCCACAATTATTCAGAAAGTTTTCTCAGTTCACATTCTTTACAACAAGAAATTTGATTATCAATTTCCGACCTTTCAAAAAAAAAAACAAAAAAACAAACTATCAGAGAATATTCAGTTACGAAATTTGTGGAAGTTTTGTTTAGCAAATCTAAGTTTTGAAAGAATAATTCCATTTACCAGCAATTCAGAGCATCAGACCCGTGTTAATGTAGCTGTGTCTGATAGACAGGAAATAAACCATACTAACATTCTTGTCTTAGGTACACTTGATGTTTACTTAGACTGCAGTGATTACTTTTGGACAGGCATTTTGTGCTGTGTTTTCCTTTGCTAGATGAGAACGTTCAAGGCACTTGATTTTACTGTTTTAGAATGTACAAGCGGCAGCCAACTTGCTCTGTTTTATACATCTATTATCTGCTTACCATCACATGCTTACTGAACTTCATGGACAAAGTCAATATCACAAAGGTCTGAAAATAACCAAATTATTTCAAACGTTCTGGAAATTGCTTTTATTTCTTTCTGAAGTATGTGGAAAATCTCTTAAAGATTACAAGGTTGTTTTAGGCAAGTTTCATCTTTTTCCAGACAGTTGTCTGCTTGAAAACTACTGAGGCATTTGTTAAGAAGGGTATAATCAGACGACTAGTTAGCTTGGCCAAAGATTGCCTTTAAAGTCTGTGTAGATCTATGAGTATGAGGAGAAAATTGTGAATGCCCAGTAGTCAATGCTGTCCCATGTCCAAGCTGTTCCCTTCCATTGAACCACTGCTCTGGTGGCTGAGCTCCTTGTCAGGCACTGGCAGGCAGAAGTTGTATGCTCACCACAGAGCCTGCTGGAGGTGGAGACACAAATCAGCAGTCAAAGTGGGCGGCCATCAGCACTGGAGTGTGATATTTTTTACTTTTTTCTTTTAAATGCATCTCTGATTAGCTCTTGCTTAGCGTGCTTGGGTCTGCATCAAAGCAATCCTGACAAAAAATGGCAAGAAATGTTTTGCTGATGCATGCTGACATACTGGTAGGGTACAGGAGTTGGTTAGATATTTTCAGAAAATCTTGATCTAATATATAGAGTTATAGAATCATTAAGTTTGGAAAAGACCACTGCGAACATCCAGTCCAACCATCAACCCTGCCTCACCATGCCCACTCGCCATGTCTCTCACTGCCATATCTCCAAATCTCTTGAACACTCCAGGGGTTGTGACTGCACCTAGGCAGGTGTTTTAGGCAATAGCAGCTTTGTTGATATCCAGTAAAGTGAAATGCCCCCAGCTATAAGCACCTTCTCATGCAGATATATGTGTTACTGGTGAACGTAAATGAGGAACCTAATGATACCTGTTCAGTCAAGAGTGGTCTGTGGTCACCCTGCTCTGTCCGTGGCCAAACTTTAACAACTGCTGTATGACAGTCATCAGAAAGTTCCATCGGGAGGTAGAGATTACTTCTTGTCATGTTTTTAAAGTGAGTAGAAAAATCCACTGCCTTCTAGGTGCTGAATCCTGGAAGACTTCATGTAATGCATTTGTAACTATTTGGTAGGACTGATGACTTTTTAAAGAATATTCAGTCAACACTGTCAGCGTTATGACTATTTATAAATGTAAATAAAGCTGCCTCTGATGCTTCAGCAACAGTGCTGACAAAACACTGCTGCATGTGATCCAGCTAAGACAGCAACACATTCTTTTGAAATTGAATTGTGTGTAATTCATGTTGCTGTGCTTTTTCAACTTGATTATTGTAATTATTGTAATTCCTTTGCTTAGGCGTGAAGCCACGCACCCAAGGGATCTGACTTTTGCAAAACACAGTGGCTGTCTGGGGTAGCCTGGCAGAGCAGAGGGAACGTGTTACTTTTGGTGTACCCTGACTTTTCATAGGTGAATTTCTCTGCAGAGTTTTCTCCTTTCCAGCATCTATCCCAGGAGCTGGCTGTAATTATTTCACAGAAGGGGTTTTTCTTCCCCATCCTGCTTTCCCTCCCATCGTGTTCTGCTGAAGCAAGTGGTGAGGGACAATAGGAAGCCATGGCTTTACTGGTAGCATTCAGAACTAGGTTCCTTAACTCTCGGTGAATTCTTTGTCAGCAGATAAGTGCTTTCCTTTTTTAGCTGCTGCATGCAAACTCACACCACTTTTCACTTGGGGTAATAGAGAAGATAACATGTATACACTTTTCAGAATTGAAAATGTTATCTGTAGGTGAATTCTTCTCAAATGAATGCTAAATAGCTGATTTCTGTGCAATTCCATCTCTAAGGTCAAGTGCTATTTTGAGAGTTGAGGAATTTAATTTTTTGGTCTGTCGTGGCTTGGGAACCTACCAGAGACCAAACAAAGAAGAATCCCAGAGTAGTACGTTATAGGTATGAGGTGGTTGGATTTTTTGTGTGTTTTTTATTCTTGTTTGTTTCTTTTGTGATGGTGGCTTTTTGGTTTAAGGTTGGTTGTTTTTTTTTAATAATTATTTTTTTTAACATTATTATTTATTGTTATCATTACCTTTGTTTGCATAATCTTATAAAGCTGAGGTTAATTTCATAGGCTTTTGCCATACTCTGTATTCTTAGAGTTTTGGAATCCCCTTAATCTAACTTTACAGGCAGTTAGGTATTTTAAAGCACTACAGCTTAGAGTCTTTATGGCAATTACTGTCGTCAGTAACACATCTGAAATTCCATTTCATCCTCTTTACAAATATAAATGAACTCTAAATAACTCCCAGCTTCTCAAATAAGTGAAGCATATTTGAAGCTCACAGAGTTGCTGGTATTCCTTTCTTTCAGCTACTAGTCTACGTAAAAACTTGGGATGATTGTACCAGCAGATGCAGCCACGTGTGGGTGGGTTCCTCTTGCAGCTGTTCATTCCAGGATTCTCATTGTGCTGCTGTCTCTTTTTTCATGTTCTTGTGTCTAAGAATGTTCTCCTGGTGCTTGTTTGGTATGTACTCCAGCTGCAATTGAATTTTCACACCACTGTTTTCACAATGGTGTGTTTTCTGTGCAATTGGGTTTCACTGAGCACCTGCAAGGCTAAGGTATCTTACAGTATTGGAGCTATGGTAGCCATCAGTAGCTGACCAGGACTGTTTGTTTTGGTTAAACGTGTATTTATATGGGCATATCACTTGTCCAAGTATCAGAATTATTCGCAAACTTTTAAGAATAAATATTTTGTCAGAGCCTGCAAATTTTGTGCCTTTTTGTTACAAAGATTTTTTGTATGTGTGTGGGATGGAAAATTATCCATATTCAGCAAACATTTAAAAAGATTTTGGCTAGGTAAAAGTTTTAAACCCGTATTAGGAAACTTGGAATTATGACTCCTTCAGCAAATGTAAATTATTTATATTCTGATTTTAAATAAAAAAGCCAAACAGCCTAATGTTACCACAGTGAGTTATTCAGCCTTGGTTAAAAAAGTTAATTAGAAATGTTCACTAGAGTAAAAATTTTAGAGTAACTCTTGTTTTTTTTTCTTTTACTCATCCTGTTTCCCCACTACTGCATCCTTCTGGTTAGGGTAACGAATCAGCTTGGAGTTAGATATGTTTTTGGTCATCTTCTTAGACTGACCCAAAACATATTTGAGCAGGAATCGAATCCCTCACTGACATAGGCTATTTTCTTCCATTCTTCTAACCTGATGTGCGTTACATTTCTGGCCACTGTACCATATAAAGTTGGTATGAAACTTAACTGTAGCTGGGACTTGGATCTTCCCTATACGGGTGGCAGAGACTTCATGGGATTGAGACTGGATTGACTCTGAGACTGCTTGACAACTGCTCTTTGTGTACATAACAGCCTGGGTCCTTATCTTAACATCTTGATTAAAGCCATCAGTAACATCATTAACAGTATCACACGTGCATTACTCTCATAAGAGTTTGTAATTTATGTTGCTACTTATGAATAGAGCTGTTTACTTCTCATGAAGTAAGTGTTGCATGTTGCTTATAGACTGGAAATGTCAGGAAAAACAGTATTTCTTTGGATTGCACTTGAACCAGGTGTTAGAGAGCTTTTCTAGTTATGAGATGTATAAACTCTTGTTTTAATTGCAAATTTATTATGGAGAACATCTTAGCCAAAATGAGAGGCTCAGTGGAAAAATCCATGGCCGGGCTGTACAGCCCTGTGTTTAAAAGTATTGTTGCAATTTCAGCAACTGCTAATGTGAAAGAGAAGTATTAGAAAAGCATTAATTATTATCAGAGGGATATTAGTGCAAGTATGGGTAGAAATGAGGAGGAAACATCATTTTACCCGTCTGCTCTTACCAGACAGCAGGCAAATGCTTTACAGACCACAGTTTGGTTTTCTGTTCCAGCTTTTCAGATTCCAACATGCAACTGACTCTCAATCAACTCGGATGCTGCTGTACTTTTCCTCTTTGTTTTGAGAGATTAGAAGAGGGACTAAACTGTAAGAAGGATTTGAGAATCAAAGATATTCAAACAAAAGTTAGTGAAGTTGCAATTACAAGTCAGAGTCTGCCTAACTCAGTGTAGTGCAGCAGCATCTAGTGAAGTCTTTGCCCAGACTTTTACCAATTTTTTGCCTTGGTGAATAGTCTCAAAGACAGATATTTGCTGTTATGTACACTTTTTGACCTGTCATTCCAAGTCCATAGCAAATGAAACCATAACAACCACTGAAATAATAGTTAAGATACGTGAATTGTAGCACTTCAACTGATGAGTAAACCATTCCAGTAAGTTGGCGTGAGGCCACTTGCGATGTAATAGCATTTTTTATAAAGTATTGCCATAGCAACAGATCTGGATGACATTGGGTAGCTGGTTGCTGTTGACTGCTGGAAATAAAACAGACTTTTAGCAGCACATGTGTAATGTCTGAAGGTAAAGTAACCCAAAATAAATGCCTGTGCTCTACTGAGAATGCAGCACGGGGCACATCAAGCCAAAGTCTGACTTACTGGCTCATGAATTTAATCCTTCAGTGAAAGTGTTTCTATATAGAAAACAAAGCCATGTATGCTAGCAAGATGTGCTGCAGTTGACATCTGGGAATAAAATAAAGGAAAACTGAGAGAAACTGTATTGCAGGTCATTTTAAGCATAAAACATCAGTTATTTTCAAGGCAAGAGTTCTAATGCTGTAGGAAGTGCAGCTGGATATGATGTTGCAGTGGAAAAGAGGAAAAAGAGGATACAGTGAAGATTGAAAACTTCTGTGGCTCTGCTGGAAAGCCATCAAGTAGAAAATGGCATGAGAACTGGACAGTGAAACAAAATTTAAGTGAGGCTGAAGCCTGTTTTTTTATTAATAGCTTTTTTGTTTTAAATAGTACTTCCTGATACTGAAACACTGAGCCTTTGTTACACGATGCAGCCAAGTTAATACTCAACAAAGGATCCAGATCAATATAGCAAAGTAGAATATGTAGGTAGAAAGATCTTTGGAGGTTCATCAAAGAAAAAAGCAAAACCCCTGGAAAACTTTTTATCTCTTCCTTTTCATGCAGATGATGTTTCTAAGTCCCCTTTAAAGACAGAAAAAAACTCACTCGTACATGTATATTAGCAGGTCGAAGAAGTGTGTATTCTCATACTAATACGATGTTGTGCTTTCCAATAGAAGTACTACATGAAAACATATATGAAATATACTTAAAAAGCTTGAAGCTATTAAGCTATCAGAGAACTCTATTTATCTTTTCTTCTTTTTAAATTTCTTTTCAAGATAAAAATACAGACATTACTGTAAAGGATAACACGGATGATTTTTGCCTTCGAGATACACTAAGCATTGCATCGACGGACTCTTTTGTTTCCACGGCTGAGGTAAGACTCTTGGAGATAGATTCTTGAAAGATTAATGGATTTATTTGAATAGTGAAAATAGTTTTGTTTTTTCTTTTTTTTTTTCCAAATTATTACAAGAAAAGGATTTTTCTCTTATGGAGAAAGAAAAAACAAGCAAACAATCCTTATCTTGCTTACTTGTAACCAGATTCCTATTAGCTGGAGTAATGAAATTGGAATCAGTCTGCTTACTATCTGTTTTTTGGTGGCTTTTTTTTTGTGGGGGGGAGGAAGATGGGAGGAGGTTGGAAGAAGGAAGAAGGAAGATGGTTATCTGGCAGTATGTTTTAATAAGTCCTTCTAAAAAGTAGTTGCTTTTAAAAGTACCTCAGATTTTTGTGATTAGAGAGGCATAACCAATTAGAGGCTATAGTAGATCCTCTTTCCATGAATTATGATTTTCTATTTTCTTTTACTTTCTTAGATAATATGAATAAGTATGAAGCTGTCTTTGCCTTCTTTGGAGTCTTTTTTTTTTTTCTTCTTATAAGAAATTATTGGTGATTGGTAGGTATTGTTTCAGTATGCTGTATTCTTCATCTGATTTCCCCTCATCTTCTCGGATAAGACTGCAAAGGATGCATAAAGAAATAATCTTTGGATAAGATGATATTGCCTGTTAGCTCCGATATGCTACAGCTCCCTTGGAATATTTGGAAGAATTTAATGTATGGTGTTGAATGAGGAACATCTCACTTTATAGTCTCTCATGAGCCGAAGTGATTTTGAATAGCACTCTTCTCCAAATTACAGAGAAAGCAATTGGTCTCTGGGTATATTTGCACTAAACATTACTATCATATATGCACTATAAATAAGCTACTGAACTCAGTTGGAAAAAGAGAGAAAATTGCATACACATGCTTTGCCATTATTTTTGCAGGTATGCGAAGATCAGAACAATCCACTGTAATCATTTATGTTGCTTTACTTAACAGTAAAAAAAATAGGATGCATCACTTTCAGGGAATGTTCATCCAGAAGCTGAATTGTGTCAATATTTGCTAAAGAAACAATTGAGTTAAAATTTGCAACAGCCTTACACCTTTCTCTTGTCTTCACTTATCCTGAAAATAGTCTCCACAATTTGATACCTCAAAGCCTCTTCCATCAACTCTTTGTTATCAGAGGAAAGTTATGACCAGTTTCCTTCCTTTTCAGCTGTTCTAGCCTTTACAAATAGAACATGCTCTTTGATGTCCTTTGTCAGATTTTACTGAAGGATTTTAAAAGATTTTCAGCTGCTAGGAGGAATTCTGAAGATTAGCAAAACCATGAATGATACTGTTCAAATTGGAACACCACCAAACTCCTGGATTAAATATGGGCCTCTGAGCTTGAGCTATAGAGCTGGTTGGCTCTGTAGTAGTAGCATACTGGGGCATTGTTGCATAGTAAAACGAAGTTGTAAATCAGTGCCAGCTATCTTCTCTTAGGAGTATGTTACCTCAATGTAAAATTTTGCTCATCCTATGCAAGAAAATGTTTAAAATTAGCACTGAAAATAACTGCTGCAATCACAAAGGATAACTACTGCTTCTCAGAGTATTTCAGCTAGTGATAGAGAACAGTGATTGCTTAGAAGTAACTGGATTAGAACTGATACACCAGATTTTTTATTCTAGATGTGATGGTGTCATACAGATTCATCTTGCTTATCAACTTCCTGCATGTTGTTCTTGCAGATGCAAAGAAGCGGAATGTTTCAGGTTAAGGGGCTGAGTTTCTTTCAGCTCTCAGTGTTTCTTTGGCAAATGGACATTTGTTCTTTCATCCTATGCTCCATGATTGCAGTTCCAATTTTAGCAACCATCCCAAACTGCTTTTGCCAATAGAAATGTTTATCTCAAATTCATAGACAGTAATAAGTGCATGTATATTTTTGCCCTACTGGAATCATTAGTAATTTCACCTTCTGGAAAATTAAATAGCAGTGGAATATTTTCTGGTCACATCATGCCACAGGCTGTATTGACAGTTACTCATTTTCTTTCTGCATTGCATCCTGTCCAAAGTAGCAGTACTAAGTATTTTCTGTTTCTCTAATTTTAAAGACTGGAAGCTGTTTCCATGTTTTTGTGCTGGCACAAGTCAAATGTAGTTCACTGCCCTCAGTAGGAATACAAGCAAAGACATGGGGAATCCTAAACCAAGCCGCAGGTAGATATGATGCAAATTGATATGTACACTGCTTAGGAGGTTACAGGTATTGTGCTGCATTATATTAGGACAAAACACAGGAGGATAGTTTTCAGTAAAAGAAATGTACAAAACTGGAACAGTTGGCAAGGATTAAATCACATCCCCTTTTGATGAACACTTTAGGAGCAGTAGGGTATGCTAGAATTTCATCTTGGCAATGACTGATACTCAAGAGGATCCTGAGGATCATGGCCTTGATGATTGCAGGTGTCCAGATTGGCACAATATATAGGTGCAAAAATCCTCATAAAGGTGCCATTCCCAATCCCAGCCAGACTTCTGTTCAAAAACACAGATTGGCCTCTCAGAAGCACTGCAGAAGGAACAGTAGGCATAACTATTTGCCTTAAGTTACTGATACTGTTTACTTACTGTGATAAATAATGGTGTTTCCATCCTTATTTGAGACTGCTCTCAGCTTGCATTTATGAGAGTTAGGATGCTTTTCATATTCTTGTGTTCTCACCTACTGTGTGATCAAAATAGCTGCATCTTTTGGCAAGTATACAACAGTGTGTGTGCCAGAAAAAGGTCTCCACCTTCTCTTTTCTGGCTTCTTTTCCATTTTTCTTCTTTTCCTGTCTCCCTGACAGTGAATTTCATTGCTGCCTCTGTGTTGTTGGTACACTTGTGTTTATGATGTCTTACTTCCTTTTGTTGATTACAACTGAATTTGTAGTTCTGTTAGAAAATAAACTTTGCTTTATTTGTGGAAATGTTAGCTCAGCCCAGAGCTTAGGAAATTTTTAAGACTTGTGAGAAAATCCTTAGCTGTCCTTTCCTGTCCGCTCCCCACATAATTATTTTACAAAGATTGTCTTCTTTGCTTCAAATCTGTTAAAAACAAAGTAGTGCAGGAAGCAATAGGCTTTGATAACAGGGTAAGAATACCAGTTTCTATTGGTCTGAACCTATTTATAAATGGCACAGCAGCCTTCAGAATGTCTAAGACAGAATTTTAGATCCAGAACATGCTCCAGAAGTGCTCTGACACTGAAAAGTAGTGTTGCCTTTTTCCTGCTTTCCCAACAGAAGTTTTATTTCTTTCCTAAAATAGAGAATTCCGGAGGGAATGGTGTTAGCAAATAATAGCAATGTATATTCTATAGCATTTATTAATGGGTTTTCTTTTCCTTTTCCATTACAAAGATTCAAGATGTGCCTCCCTGTTTTCTGGCTGACTTCAGAATTGTGCCTATTCTTGCTAATCTGATCTTCTCAGGATTCATCATTCTCATCCTGGTCACTCCTCATATGCTCATTTAGTCCACTCGATGTCATATGGATTACTGCTTTATCTCAGAACATGTCTTGCAGTCTAGCACGCTCTCCATGAAAAACCATGAGGAGCTGTTTAACAACTTCATAAAACACGTGGAGAAAGGGAGGGAAGAATTAATATATAAAAGAAAAATCTTTTTAAAGATGCAGATAGCCAGAGAAATAATTCATTCATCTTTTTAATACAGGATAAGCATCATTTCTCAGAATGCAAGGAAAGCTGACTGCACCAGTAAAGTGACCTTTTTATTACAGGAAGCAAGCAAGAATTCCTAGAAGGGCCAGCACTGCGTATTTTTGGTACTTTCATGTAGGTGGTCATTTTGGTAGTCAAAAAGATTTTTCTGCACGGCTGAGAATTTTTTCTATTTATTCTTGTGGTTGGCAAACAAAAGCACTGAGTCTGTCTGTATTTCTTAACCACTCTGGTCCGAGTTTAAAAGCTATTGCAGGTTCCGGGGTTTGATATTTTACATTTGTTTCATCAACTCATCACTAATACGTACAGCCTTAAAGCCAAACTGTCTGTAGAAAACAGGTTGGTGTCTGAGCACCATACAACATACATTGAGCAACGTACATTGTGAACTCCAGAAGCTGTTGTGCAGCACAGAGCATCGAGACACAAGCTGTCGTTGTGGGCTTTGGAGTTTTGAAGACATACTGACAAGGGAAACAAGAACAGCTGTGGGAGAAAGTTATCACTTCCACTTTCCTGAAGATATTCATAATGTAATTTTTCTGTATTTTCAGTGTCTTTACAACTTTCTTAGTTTGCTTTCTTTGAACCACATGGAGACTCATCAGATCTAACTAGTGAAAATCAGAGCAGGTGCAAGTTTATGAATTAAACTTTTACAAATCAAAACCTGAAGCTGTAGATTTCAGATTTTAAAAGGCATGAAATTACAGCCCTATTAATAGCACAGTGCCCCACTTTGGTTTACTAGCTCAGTGTTGCCCCCTCTTTTCTTATGTTATTTTTTTTTTTTAAAGCAGCTACAGAAAAGGATGCAACTTTATTAGAAGATCAGGAAAACTTTGGCAAGTTCTTTAAATGAATGTTACTTTTTTTTCCCCCCCAGCTTACGGAGCATAGAGAAGTTCGTAATACCTATGGGCTAGATTCCCTTTGCCATTGCCCACTGTATGAAGAAGCAATGCACTTAGCAGAAGAAGGCAAAGTTTATTCACGAGTATTAAGGTATTAATGTATTGATTTGTCTACTTAACAATCTGCAAGAAAAGAAAACAATAAAATTAAATATTCTGTGCAGAATACAGGATTCTCATACAGGGTATTTTGTAGTTGAATTTTCTTGTGCTTCTTTATTTGATGTTTTTGATTATTATTATTATTTTTTTTTTTTTTTAAATTTTTCATAGGACTGAAATGTTTGAATGTCTTGGGGACAGCGACTTCCTTGCTAAGCTTCATTGTATTCGACAAGCTTTCCAGGTAAGCAGAAAGCAAAGTCATCTGCCTTCTTAAACCTAAGGCATGACATTGAAGTGCCACTATCTGTGCAGTACTCATGCAAATGTTTTAATAACATATCCCATAATTAAGCATATTCTTAATTATTGCTATAATTTCTACATTTCTGTAATTCTAAAATGGGGCACCCCAATCTTATGATGAACAAAATTTGGAATATTTGCACCAAAGACTTCTTGGGAATTTGCCTACTATGCCAGTGGTTGTAATGAAGAAAACTTTATTAAATTTGATCGAAATAATTAAAGATCACTTGCTATAATCTGTGAATGAATATGTCCATGTTTTCTAAAACCTTTTCTAGATAATTCTTTCAGAAACAGCAAACAGAATATTTCTTGCTGAAAGTGGAAGAAAAATTTTATCTGCCCTAATTGTGAGAGCACGAAAGGTAAAAGCCTTTTTTTTGACTAATGTTTCACTGCTAAAGTAACTTCTACCATAATTCATTTTATAATGTAAATAAACCATCTCTTGTGTTAGGTTTGCTTGACATTCATTGCTTTTACTTTGCAGAATCCAAAGAAATTTGAAGATGTCTTTGATGAAATGATATATTTCTTGGAACAAACGGATCACTGGGATAATACTGAAATGGAACTTGCTGCTAGAGGAGTGAGTGTGACTTTTTGAAGTGTTTTTACCCTCAATTATGCCAACTGTAGCAGCCAAAAATAATTCTTTTCAGTTCAGAATTGTGGGAAAGTCAACTCTGTCATGCCTAACAATCCTGACTTAGAGAAATGGCATCCACCAGTGTACTTTAGTACCAGAAAGCATTTACATTTTGTTCTGCTTCTCTTTACATCTGTATGTTAAAACAGTTAGAATATGATGCATGTTGAATTCCACTGCTGAAAGAGAAACTAAGTTACTTAGACCACGTTCTGGTTTAATATAGGTAAAAAACTTGAATTTTTATGATGTTGTTCTGGACTTCATTTTGATGGATTCATTTGAAGATTTAGAAAATCCACCAATATCTATACAGAATGTAGTAAACAACCGCTGGCTGAATTCCTCTTTTAAAGAAACAGTAAGTATTTGTTATTTTCATAATCCTGGTATTGTTGTGGTGTATCAGTGTAAGTAGATGCTATGGTGAATGTAACATCGGTGTGAGCATTCTGCTATAAAATTCTGTATATCCTGAAATTATTCTTCTGGTGATCTGTGCTTTATGTTATTAGAGTGGATTCTCAAGAATGAGAATAAATCCATCAGCTCCATAATAAAGACTATGTATATCATCTTGATAAAAGCATTTAATTTTGAAATAAAGAATCTATGTGCTCCTTCAGTGTAAAGATTCAGCTAATTCAGCTTCCACTACAATTATATGTACTGAATATATACCTGAAGTATCTTCAGCAGAAAAAAAAAATGTTTTATCACTATCTTTTTTTTTGTAATCATAGTTTAAAAGCTACCACTCTGCCAAAAATATATCAGATGGTTGAGTATATTGGGGAAAATACTTTAGCCTGACCTGCAAAAATATGTTTGCTCTAAGTAAAATTTTACAAGGGAATTTTCTGTTAGCCCCATCTTAGATATTAGATCCAGATTTTGGTACATAAACCAGAGTGCTAGCAGTAAGGCATGAACATCCAGGTACAAGTAAATGAACACAATGCCATCACAAACACACACATTTTGTAAGTATGCAATAACAGCATTTTGAGAATAGTGAATTATCTTCAAGTATGCATGGAGAATCAGATGGGGATAGAATTCTGTTAGAAGCTATGAAGGGGGAAAAAGAGGAGTTCTGATATGGGTATATTGTATTATACACAGCCATATTTGGACAAAACTACTTCGCTGAATCTGAAGCTATTGCAGGAATGTTTTTGCTAAAAGTAAAAAGGACATTACGATGTGTTCACATGCTATTTAGTATCTAAAATAGCTGCTGATGTCTGAGCACACTTTCTGGTATATAATGGACTACCCTCAGTTAAACTGAGTAGATGTTGCTAACTGTTTGACTGTAAAAAAAAAAACAAAACCAGTCAGGAGTGCCAAATCACATTTTAATTAATCTAAGGAAAGTGTAACAAAGAAAGATTTCAAAATATGAACAAATATGAACACTTTGTAAAATCAGTTGTGTGCATCAGCTGATATTTTATACTTGAAAATTTTGTGTTATCACAAGATTGAAACTAGAAGGACATTTAGAAATATAACATCTGCACATCAGTGCTTTTTAGATGAAAATTTTTATAATTGTTGTTTTATAATGTTTTATAATGGTAATGGACACTTTAAATTTTTTTTTGTCTTTTTCTTTTTTTTTATCTTTTTTCTTTTTTTTTTTTACATCTAGGCAGTGGCTTCGAGCTGTTGGTCAGTACTGAAGCAGAAAAGACAGCAAATGAAGGTAAGTTGCTTTGCAAATTATATGTACCAAAGCTACTCCAAAGAACACGAAGTTCTGCCTTGTTTTGGAAAAAATAATTACAGATCAACCCTTACTCCTGTAGACATATTAGTTTCAACAAGTCTGTCGTTTGAAGAAGTTTAGCTTGTGGGGTTTTGATACGAGTTTTTTAGCAAAAAGTCTTACCTGAAAAATTCTCAAACCAGTTTAGGCCAAAAAATAGTTGAGAGTAGAATCTGTGATTTCTGGGTCCACACGTGTGTTTCAGATTTTTGCAGACCAAGGTCACTGATCAGGGACATTCTCAACCCTGTGTCCCTGCACTGTCTCCAAAGCTAACTGTAAATCAGTCCCATTTCTTTACTTACCTGAAGTTGCCCTCAAGGACTGCCGGATCTGTGCTGCAGCCTCCCTCAGTGCCCTTTGGCATCCTGGCTTTCATGGAAGAAACTGCAGATTGTGAAGCAGTACTCCTCTGTGACAGCAGCTCCACTTTTTGTTTGCTTTTAGGGGTTTTTATGAGACCTGAAGGCAAATGCCTCCATCTCTAATATTCCGTTCATAAGCGAAGTTGAGCTTTTCTGCTGGACAGCCATAGCCATTGGAAGTGATTTTGCATACTGCAGCTGAGGAAGCCCAACTTTAGTGATTCCAAACTGCGTGCCTGAACAAAAAGGATGGAAAAGAAAATCAGGAAGCAATTAAACTGTTGTATTTGAGCGTCTGTAGAGGAAGAGCCTAATATTAGCAAAGCTTTTGACATTGTGGAGAAGGGGATAACTGGGTATTTAGATCTGTACTTGATTCCTACTTTCCAATAGCAGAAGTTAACTTTTAGAATGGAATTGTAAGGAGGCGTTTTAATTTCTAGACGGCTTCAAATGCAATTTCTTACTTTTTACAAGATTCAGCCAGGATCTCAAACTGGAGTAACTGATTAAACTTACCTGATCTGTCAGGTGGGAGAATCGGAGTAGGTTGGTCGTGAACTTATTTGCCTTATTCCTAATAATGCAAAGTACCAGAGGAGTTTAAAACAAACAAGCTTACAAACAAAACCAACAACACTTTTCTAAAACAAGAGTTGCTTGGTAGAGTTACCAGGCTGCCACAACTCTGCAGTGGTGGGCTTTTTAGGCTTTTTTAAACACAGTTTTATGTAATAAGGTTTTATTTTAAATGTACTGTGTAACTCTCCACTTTTTACATCCCCAGGTACCTGATGGATTTTTTGCTCATTTCTATGCTATATGTGAACATATCAGCCCTGTTTTGGCATGGGGTTTTTTGGGTCCTAGAAATTCCCTTTATGACTTATGCTGCTTCTTCAAGGTTTGTTCCTTCTTCTTCATTACCACTTATCTTAATTAAAAAAAAAAAAAAATCCTGTGGAAGAAAAGAAATGAGGATCTTGCTTACAGGCACACATTTGTATTTTCCTAAAATTAAAGCAAACAGTAAAAATGATGGAAATATTTACTATCATACTGACTAAGCTTTTTAGGCCTAGAACTGTTCTATGAAGTATATTTTAGTGCATTTATATCTCTGCACTGGAAGAATACATAAATGGATGGTTTTGTGAAATGTGTGCAAGAAATAGGTAACATTGCATGCTTTTTCCTTTTTCTTCTTGTAAATAAACACACATTTTTCCTTTTTTTTTTTTCCCCCACTAGGATCAAGTGCTTTTCTTCCTCAAAGACATCTTTGACTTTGAGAAGGTACGATACTCAACTATGGAGAGTTTGGCTGAAGACCTCATGCAGTTATTAATCCGACGCACTGAACTTTTGATGGCCTACCTTGGAGCAGATTCATTGAAACATGCCAGTGCTTGTGTAAGTGGTCATGGGCATGTGATGACCAGTGGGCTCTTGGAAGCAAAGGCTCAGTAAGCTTAAAACCCATGAGATGTGAGATGGAGTGCACTTTGACATGCTCCTTCCCACCTTTCTTTCCCACCCCAAAGCTTTCATTGCTGTTAATGAGCAAACATCTGACAATGTACCATGTTGCTAAGTAAGGAAAAGGACTCAGGGAGAATACACATCTACAAAAAGAACTGGTGAGCATACTGTTGTATATATCTAAATTAAATGTGCAGCTCAGCTGACATCATGTTTATATTTAATGTATCCCAAAGCTTTTTTTCTGTAATATTTTGGTAAAGTTTATTTATGAAATACTGTACTTTTGCCACAGATAATTTGTAAGTGGAGCCAATGGATGTGTCTCATGTAAAGGCTTACAGTACAAAATGTTCACTACAGAGTCTCAAAGACATGATGTGTCTAGGCCAAGGAGGTGTTTCAGTGGGAGTATATGCAGTTATACAGTCTCTGGTTCATGTGACACGTGCAATAAAGGAATCACAGTCACAAAACTGAACGTGTTGCCACTGCCCTGAAGTTACATTTGTGTGGATGTAAGCAGTCGTTTTGTACTACAGTATAAGAGTGATGCAGGCACCATTTGGGCAGTAATGACTTCCAGTATGCATTTTTTTGCTTTATTTTTTGCACAAAATCTAATAATCATGAAGGTGTTTGTATGAGACCACTTTTTATATCCAAACAGCTATGCTAGTTTCACCACTATTTTTTTCTTTTTTAAAACTGCAAAGACTTTAAGTGGTGGTGATGGATATAATTCTTAGTTCTTATGTAGCATTTCAAAATACGTTTTTAAATCATGATAATTTTTTAATCGTGAAACAGAATCGAGGGCAGTGTTTTGTAATTAAAAGCATTTACGTCTTCCTGCCTTCCTTGTAAGGAGGTCAATTATCTATTTGGGAGGAAATGTGGTGATTTTGGCCATAAAGGTTAACATGCAAAAGTGTGGTGGCTCAGGATATGGAAACCTTAACGTTGGTTAGGAGGCAATACAGTAATGAGGCATGAGAAAACTTGCAGCAACATTTTGACTGTGTTAAAGCTAATAATGATCTATAGTCTTGAATTCCTTTAAACTGAAACAGTGTTTTCTAGTTAGCTTTTAAACTACGTTGATGTATTCTTGGCCACACAAAGCCAGCCTACAAGAATTCAGCCTGTGTTAAGTAAGTAATGAGACTAATTATAGACTAATTCTAAACATTCAGATATTCAGGAGCATGTTGTTGTGATGTAACATATTGAAGCAAACTTTGATTAGAAACATTTCAACTGCTGTTGCACAAATAACCCAAACTGATGGTACTTGAAGATGAGGGCCAGTGTCTTTCCATAGGTTTTACTGAAGCCAACTTTTTGTCGTGTTCATTTGATAAAGATGATGAAAAAGTATCATATGACTTGTGTGAAATGCCAACTGATTATATTAAAAAAACAAAAAACAAAAAATACAAAGAAAACCCCAAAACTATAATTCTGTGTGTAATAAAATAGAAGTTCCAAATGCTACTGTTGCACTGTTTCCACCATTCAGGTTGCTGAACTTGGCACTCTGCTGTACTTTTCTTTCTCAGTTGATAATATCTGCAATACCAGAATGTGAAGTTTGTGTCACCCTTCTCATTTATCTTAAGCATTCTTATCTCCTCTCATTGTAGTGCTCAAAAATTCCTGTCTGATGACAGCTTTCTGCAGTCTGTCAATGGAATTATATTGAACTATAAGGTGTCAAACTGGATTCAGAATCAGTAAGAGAGTAAATGGCATATTTCACACCAAATATACCACTTGGGCACTTGGTGTGTCACAGGAAGCTTAGTTTGTCTGGTCCAATAAAATGTTGAGAAAATGATACCTTAGCATTCATCACAGAAAAGCAGAAATGCACATTTTTACAAAAGTAAATTCCTGAGTGAGCAACTCTTGTATTTATAAAATACTCCAGAAGAGAGTACGACCCAAATGTTATTCAACAGCGCTGATACGAGGCTGTTTCCAAAGGATTTAATTTTGTGGTCTTCTGTCAGAAATGAAAGAATTTAAAACAAAAACCAATATGCTATGCCAAAATATTTAGAAAGTGGTTAAGTACCTGATATTTTTGGTTCAACAAATGTATCCCTTTAGGTCAGGAATGCTTCCATGACATCACAGAGCTCTCAGAAGTCTGTAGAATCAGGTCAGAAATGAGGCTGATGCTTCCCATCCGGAATAGGAGTTACAGCATCTGGTTGCAGAGAGGTATCAACAATAGATGTTTCTTTTAGACTTTGGCTTCTATTTATGTGAATTTTCAGGGGAAAAAAAAAAAAGAAAGAAAAGAAAAGAAAAGAAAAAGAAATTAAGGAAGAAAGAAATAGGTAAGGAGAGAGAGAAGAAGGGAGGAAAGGGGAAAAAAATGGGAGCAGAGTATCTGCATGTGCAGATACCTTCGGGACCTTTTGGACCTCAAAAGCATTTGCATATTCTGCCCTTCCTAGCTCCAAAAGCAGAGCTGTGAATTGGAGTGGGAGGGAGCTGCCTTCTTGCCGAGGTTTATACAACTGAGCTCGAGGGGACATAAGGAGTATCTGTTGATAACTGCCACACAGCTGAAGAATTCCAAGTCTGCCACCTTTGAAAACTCAAATGCCAGAGCTGCACCAAAGCAGTGATGGTATGATGTGGCTTTACTGAATTCATAACTAAGAAGTAAGAATTTAGTTCATAATCTCTTTTCAAATAGTTTTGAATGCTACTTTCTGTGCTAATAAGAGCAAGCTAAATTTAAAAGCTGTCCTGTTCTGTCATAACTGAAGCTAAGATCAGAAATGTTGAATGTGTAGGGACCATAGAAGAATCGAGTAGTTACATCATTTGCAATTTTGTTGTTATAATCATCTCACTTCAAATGCATTCTTAATGATTATTATACTTGTCTTTTGTAGTCTTTAGTTTCTGTCAAGCTAAATGTGTCAAACCAAGTGCTGGAGTGAGCATATCTGTGAACTTCCCAATGCCAAAATGAACTGCGGTTGTGTTACTAAATAAAATAATACTGTGACATTACTTTGTTTGGATAACTGTCCAAAACTTGAGTTTGCACAATCCTTGACATCTAATGTAAAAATATTTAATATGGAAGCAGTTTTAATACCAGTTAGCCATCTAAATTGAAATTTAAATTTGCTTCTTAGAATCCAAGAAAAATATGACAATATTGAACATATGAGAAAAAGGAATGGAATGGGATCAGCAGTCCAGTTTAAATTGATTTTGTAGACCTGTTTCATTCTGCTTCTATGGTACAAAGGAGTGATCAATTTTCAACACATTGGCCAGCAATCCACCAGAAGCTGAAGAGTGGAATTTTTAGCCCTGGAAGTCAAACAGGTGACGTCTTAACTAAGGAAGAGAACCCTGCCCCAAGGATGGTTGCCGTGCTGCAGGCACAGCAGGTATCTGAGGTGTGACAAAGGCAGCGGCTGGTCTGCTGCCGAGATCTCTGCCCTGATCAGTGTCATTTAATTGCATCCTTCTATTTCTGTCAAGTTGTTATCTCTTTTCGTGGTTTTAGGAGCTGTTTTTTGTTTTGTTCTCAGGTTTATTTCCAAATAGTCCCACTACATGAGCTAAGGCTTCCCTGAAGGGCAGGTAATGAAACATAGAACTTAAGGAAGGCGTCCAATCCTCACTGATGCACAACAGCAGTGCAGATACGTTTTTGATACGAGCAAATTTGGGTGTATGTCTGCTGAAAGCTGCTAACTGAATGCCTGCCTATTAGCGTGTGTGCCCTGACTTTGGCAGTACAACTTTTCTGACCATGGCACGGGGGGAAAGTTCTGTGCTGTCCTTTGAAATACATACCGTGTTTTAGCATTGGTATCTGTTGTTCAGATTGGCAAAGGCTGAGGGCGTGTGGTTATCAGCCCCGTGCCTGTGATTCCGGCTGCCCCTTGGCTCCAGTCTGGCAGACAAAATACAAGGGAGATAGAAAGGAGGACATTCTCCTGCGCTGGGGACCGTGCAACTGGAAAGGTAGGAAACAAGGGGGAAAAGGAATGTATTCAGATGTAATAAAACCGCGCTTCTGCCTGTGCTTAGTGAAGTTTCCAGAGCAAGGCGCTGCTTTAGGCTGAACGCGCTCTGGGCTCTGGCACGGGCCGGATTCCTGTCCGCTCCATCAGCTAACTGTCACAGCACTATTATTAGGCGATTGCTTCGCGTGTGCCATAAAGCGACCGGGGAGCTGACGGCGGCAGGTTATAAAGCCGCCCCGCTGAGGGGCATGAGGCAGCAGCGCTCCGCAGCCTGGGGTGAGTGTGCTGTGCGGGACTCGGGGCTCCCTACGGCGGAGATCCGGGACGGGGACACAGCCGCTGCCGGCCCCGGGGCTCCGCCGCCGCCCCGCGACCAGGAATGCGCAGCCCCCCTCCCCGGTTATTTATAGCTCCGTGGTGCTTCCAGCCCAAAATAAGCCCGTTGGCCGGGGACGGCTGCGCGGGGTGGGGGCGGAGGGGGGGGGTGTGAGCTGACGGGGCGGCCGGGCTGAGCCCCCCGCCGCGCCGAGGGGCCGGGCACGCCGAGCCGCCACGGGCCGGGGCTGAGGCTGAGGCGGGACAGCTGCCGCGCCGCGGGGCTCGCCTGGAATGCGGGCGCCGGCCGCGCGCCGCGACTTTTATGGAAAGTTGCAGCGGCGGAGCGGCGGCCGCAGCCAAGGGGCGCTCCGCAGCCGCCACCGCTCCCGCCCGCTCCGCCGGGATTACGCCGAGACGCAGCGGCGGGGCAGCGCTCCCAGGTAAGGAGCGGAGGGGCTCGTCGGACCGGACACCTCGCCGGGCAGGGGTTCGCTGCATCCCCTCTGAGAAGGGCGACGGAGGGTCGGTGGGTTCCGCAGCGCGGGCAGAGCGGCACCGGGCAGCGCGGGGCCCCGGGACGCCTCTGGAAGGGGGGGTTGAGGCGGAGGGCTGTGGAAGGGCCGGAGAGCCCGGCGGAAGGAGCTGCGGGGCGGCGCGGGGTCGCGCTACGGCGCTGCTTTCCGCGGAGCGGTGCGGTCAGAAATCCCGCCCGGCCGTGAGACGCGTGGCTCCGCGCGAGCGCACCGGGAGCTGCCGGCGCCGTGCTGAGCGGTTGTGAGCGCCGTGCCGATCGTTTGCTTCGCAGCGCAGTGCTGTTTGTTAGCGGCTTCTGCCGCTGTAAGGCAGCGCGGCTCGGGGGAAATAGTGCGCTCCTCTGACAGCTTACCAACGATTTGTCACCGGTTTTGGCCTGGGTGTAGAAGAGCTTCTGTCGATACAATGAACGTTCGCGAAGAAAACGCTGAGGGGAGCGCAGCACCGTTCTGGAGCCAGCCGGTGTGCGGCTGTGTGTTACAGAGCGGTGCTGTTTTGCCCTCATGTCTCTTAGAAAAATGCCTTGCAAAACGAAATTATGAAATGATAATTAGTCCTATAGGGAGGCCAGTTGCACTAAAGAATACACACCAACATGGGAACACATCTGGTATGTGCAGAAAACCCTCAGCGCAATGCAAAACTGGGCAGCCAGCAACAGTTCAGGACACATCCCCAAGAAATGCTTTCTCTGGCCGTGTCTGGAATGCCATACATGGGTGTTTTCCTCTGTCAGATAATCCATAACTTACAACATGTGGACATTATGTCTTGTAGCTCTCTTAGCAAGGAATGGTGCTGGAAACGAGGTGGGGAAAGCTGAGGTGAGCTCAGGGAGCGCTCGGGGTGAGCCCTGCTGTGCTCTGTGCTGGCTGTGTCCTTGGTGAAGGCACTGCCCTCAGACATCGGCCCAGCTCTCAGTAGAGTGGAGATGGTCAATGGAGCTCACTCCATGTGTGAAGGATCCGTGTGTCAGAGAAGCAGCACGTAGGGCTGTGTGCTGGCATCTGAGATAGGAAGAGGCAAACTGCAGCCATACCTCATGCGCAGCGTTTTGTCCCACATTTCTGTGCCCGCTTTGCAAGTCTGTCAGTGACAACAGGAGGAGTTGAGCTGAAATTTAAGGGTTTCTCTTCAGTTTCTGGGACACAGCGGGGGCTGGAGGAACTGTGGCATGGGGCAAAACGTGCATTTTTCTCTCGGGGATCTGGCTTCACAATGTACTGCGCCTCGTAATCAGGATCTGCAGATATCTTGGAACATGGAATCGTGGGCCTGAATATCTCAACAGTGCTTCCCTGGGTCCCGTTTTTTCTGGAGTATGCCTACCCATAATTGCACCTGAAGGGACCAAGGAATTAAGGGGCAGACCTCTTCCACAGAGAGGAGTGATTTTATTTTTCTAACACAGCAGCTGGGCTGTGTGGCATTGTCACATCAGAAGTATTTAGAGTTGTATGAACGTATTCAAAATAGTACATTTTAATAAACAGCACAATATCTGCAAAGGCCATTCTGCTGCAACAGAAGACTCAAAATGCAACAATTTGAAAGAGGGAGGAAAAGATTGTAGATGAAGTT